AAAGAATCTCTGATTTTGAACAACAGAACATGGAATTAAACCAATCTGTAAAAACATAGAAAGAAACTCAGAAAGAGAAAGCAAAGTATAGAAGAGCTGTGTGATTATTATATCAACAGGCTGAACCTATGACTCATTGGTATCCTAGAAGCAGAGTTAAATGGAGAACAACATGGAACAAGTGTTCCAAGAGGTAATCGAAGATAATGTTTCCCATCTCATCAGAGACGTGATCCTCCCAAACAAAAGAGATACAATGACCCCCACAAGACATGAAATGATAAGACCATCTGCTAGACCAATAGTAATATGCTTACACAAAGTAGGTACAAAAGAAAAAATTCTAAAGGCAGCAAGAGAAAGTCAGACTGCCAATCAGGGTAAACCAATCAGAATACCAGCAGAGCTACTGGCAGAAACACCACAAGTAAGAATGGATTGGAATCCAATATTCAAAGTCCTCAAAGATAAACAATTTCAACCAATAATTTCCTGCCAGTCAAGTTCAGCTTTAACAGTGAATGAGAGTTAAAATCCTTCCCAAACATTCAATTTCTAAGAAGTTATACATATGTCCTCAACAGCTCTACAGAAGACACTTAAAAAATATTGAGCACAGGACAAAGAAAGAAAGAATGATTACACATTTCCAAGAGAACAGCAGAGCACAGAATCAGCAGACAATACTGCACAACAAGAAACTTGACAACACACACATACAATAACCCCAAAGCCAAAAGAAAAAACTTTAGTAGAACTTCATGACAAGGATAAACAATCACATTTTAATAATCAGCCTGATATGAATGAACTAAATGCCCCTGGGAGGAAAAAGCAGAATGATAAACTGGATAAAAAACCATGACTCAATGGTTTGCTGCATTCTGGAAACCAATCTCACTACAAGAGACACACACAGACTCAAACCTTCAGGATTAAAAACAAGTTTCTAGGCAAATAGATCATAAAAGAAGGCAGGAGTCATGATCTTAATATCAGATAAAACAATCTTAAGGTATTAGAAATTTAAAAGACACAAAGGTCATTCCAAAATGTTAAAGATTCAATCCATCACAAAGAAATATTCATCCTAAACATATATGCACACAAAAAAAGAGCACCAGCATTTATAAAGCAACTACTAAGTAAACTAAAAAAAAAAAAAAATGATT